GGCATTGCTAAACTGTGCCACTATAACAACTAGGAAAAGAGGAGTAGGGGACAAAGGGACTACCATTTGCTGGGTGTGTCCTGTAAGCCACACAACATCCATAATCTTATCACGTCTTCACAACATCCATACATTTGGGTTGATCATTATCCCCACTTTACAAATGCAGCAACAGAGGGTCTATAAGGGGAAGTGACAGGTTTGAAGCTAAAAGCCTTGTCCAGGTGTTTTGAGAAGCACAGTGTCTGTCATATCCTGATACTGACCCAGAAGATGCCTGGCACCTAGACCACATTCCATCTAGCTGCAGTGTTTAGTGTGGTTTGTTTTGCCACTTGGGGCACTGTTGCATCTTAAAGGAAGTCTGATTTCCCCTGACTTATAACTTGGCAGGGTTCAGCACCCAGGACTGAAGTCACCTGCTGGCATTCTCCCCTAAGCGGGACCCCAGAAGGTTCATTAGTGCTTGTTTTCCTAGCACCTCCAGCCATATTGTCAGTTTTCAGTCCCGTGTGTATGATGGTTGCAAACCCATTTCTCCCTACACTTAACCCTCTCTGCTCCGTGAGAAGACCAAATCAGGGGACAGAGCCCTGGGAGTCAGAAGCCCTATGCTCTGAACCCAGTTCTGCCACTAACCTACTGTGGGGTCTTGGGCCAAACCTTCAGTTCCTCTGGGTTCAATCTCCCCACTCAGATAACTAGGGTCTTGGTTAACTCATCACCTAATGGCCCACTCACGTCTAACATTTTGAGATCTCAAGGTAGGGTGTAGTCTTTAGGTTGTCATTATTCTGACTTCTACATCATGATCCTTTCAAACACCTTAAGCAACACCTCTCTTCTGTGCCACTGGCAAGGAAGGTTTCGTTGGCACAGATTTCTCTCAAGGTACCCAAAAAAAGCCCAAAGAAGTTACATGATCCTTCCAGTGGAGTCTAAAGCTTGGGAAAACAGCTGATGAATCTTTCCCATCTGAAGGCCTTGGTCCTCAAAAGAATTCACAGAGTAGTTGAGTTGTCCAAAAGGTGGGATACCCCCACAGAAGGAGTGAGGAGTCCTGGGTTCTGGTCTTGCTTCTTTCACTAAGTCCTGGGGTAAACTAGGACAAATCTACCATGGGGGTCCCATTGGGGAGCACATGTGTCATGTGGTTACCAAGCCTAGACCAGGTGACTTCTCAGGGACCTTCCATTTCTATGAACCATGCAAATCCTACGGAACCAGGCTCTTCACAATTTTGACTGTCCCCAGAGTTAAAATGTTCTGTTCTACCATGGCAGGTGTTGGGCAATCTGAATATGTGAAGACAGTTTCCGAGCTGGGGTGTAGGAACATGCCTGCAATGACAGAGAGTTGGAGAGGGGACTGACTTTACCCTCACTGCAGTCTAGTACAGCTGAGTCTGCACAGCCTGCTAGAATAAGCTAGAAGGGCCCTCTGGGTCATCAGATCCACACTGCTCTTCATCTAGCCAGGGACACTAGAGCCCAGAGAGGGGACATTCCTAGATTCTAACCCCCAAGCTATCAACTCAGCTATGACTTGCAGACAGCTCTCACTTCCCTCACCCAAGAGCTCAGTTCTTCCAACGAAACCCCTCCAGACTCCACACTCAGATAGGAAATGAATGAAACAGGGTGTGTTCTCCTCCCGATGCTCTCAGCATTCAAAATTCCAGAGATATTACAAGATTTCAGCTGCATGTAGCACCACCTATTTATGTCACTCCTTCTTGTCCTCATAACTAAAAAACAAGGTCATATCATGGACTTGCAGGGCAACAGGAGATTCAAGCCACATGAAGTGTTCATGTAGCTCTTGACAAGAGCCTCGCGACCCTCAAAGCTGTCCAACACATCTATGAACAGCACTAACGGGTCAAATATTTGACCTGCCAGCACTGTGACTTCCAGTGCGATTTGTGCATCCTAATGAAGGTCTTCCCATTGCCTCAGCTGAGAAATGGGGATGATAGCAGCGTTGGCCATCAGCTGAGGGGGTCATCTCCTTAAATGTGCACTTGAAGCCATAGTGTTTGGGTCTCACAGAGCAGGCTCCGCTCTCTTCCTGCTGACGCCTTGTCAGATGGTAAAGGCCTCCTCCGGGCTCCTCTTTAGGTTCATCACCCCAATTTATCTACGATTCCTCTGGTGTCCTGAGCCCTGGCCCCCTTCCCTTAGCCAGCTCTAGCAATATCATTCTTAAAGGGGGTTGCCCGTGTTTTTCCTTACCCTTGAAACCATGTAAAAGATTCTTTAAGAAAAATTAAACTACACTATGCCATTTGACTTCAGGAAATGCAAAAGCTTCAAAATAAGGTGTTTTTTTTCCATCCTTGGGTTTCTCAGAATTACAACTGAGGTCAACCCAGCAAACATGCAAAGACCAAAGGGGAAGGAAAAAAAAAGAAGCTGCATGTGTGAGAGGCAAGCCCAGGCTTGTACTTTCACAGTCATCTGTTTACAGCTCAGCTGGTAGATGCCACCTCAAGTGGCATGGTGTGAGGGGGGCCTCCGGCCAGTGAGCAGAGCCTGTCCTTGGCATGATGTGCTGGCCTCAGTCTAGGGCACGAGTTTTATCTTCCTATTTAACCTAAGCTAACCTGCAGAACCAATGGGAGAATTCGGCCAGGTGTGATCCCAACCTAGAGGGGAAAGGCAAGCCAAACATCCCCATTTACCTCATTCATGCCATGAGAACTGACCTGGCATCCACAGAGGAAGGAAGACTGATTAGATGATGCAATTAACAAACATTTGTGGAGTAACTTCTGGGCTGGGCAGTGGGAATTTATAACAGTAGCCTCTTTCCTGCGGTTTCACGGCCTAAGGAAGACAAAGAGGCAAACAGAGGGAAGGGTCAGAGAAGGTTTCCTGGAGGAGATGATTGCCAGGAAAGGCTGCGCTTTAAACAAGTCATCACTTGCCCAGTGAAGGGGGGATTCCCAGTGGAATGGCAAATCAACATCCTGTGTTTGGGGGCACTAGACACCCCCAAACTCCAGTAGGGTGGTAAGCAATGCACTCGGGCATTAGAGTCAGACAGCCTGGGTTTGAATCTCCACCCCACCATTAACTAGCTGCACAAATGCGAACAAGTCATTTAACCCTTCAAGACCTCGACGTCCTTATGTACAAGATAGTAATATTACAGTACTTTTCTTGTGGGGTGGTTATGAGAATTAAGTGAAATGATGCACATGTAGCAAAGTACCTAAGAAAGCGCCATCACTCAATACATGTTTGCTATTATTATTACAACACTGCTATTACTACTATTATTAGTATTGGGACAGAGAGTGTAAGGCAAAGAGAGAAAATGGGGGACGAGAACACAAAGGAACGTGGATGCCATGTGAAGGGGCTTGGCCCTCATCCCGCAGGCACAGTGGAGTCAGAAAGGGGGTTCACGCAGAGAAGAGATGCAGACAGATGTGCCTCTCTGCAAGTCCCCCTGACCTGATGTGCCACACCCAGCAAAGACGAGGCTGGGCCAGAGGGACTCTCAACAGTAGTCGCCGGGCACTGGGGAGTAAGCAGTCCTCAGTGTTGTGCTCTCCACACCCCAAGAGTGTGGGCTGTGGTCTGGAACAGGCAGGGCAACAATGCCCACCGGAGGATGACTGTGAGACAGGATCAGAAATATGGCAGCTGGTCTACCAGCCCGCATCGGCAAAGAGCCCGTTAGCCAGGAACCTCTTTAAGAGGTGAGGGCAGGTAAAGATGAAAACTGCCCCCCAGTTTCTGCCTCTAGCAATGACCTTGCTCAGACAGCAGAGGGAACTCTTCCCCTAACTTTCAACCATTCCAAGTCCCCCACGGTGCTGTGATGGAGACCAGGAGGGACCTTCTCAGGCCTGAGCAGTGAGAAGACTGACAGCCCAGCAGGTACTGCTCAGGGAGATACAGGGAGCAACCTCTCCAGGCATGGTCACTTCAACTGAATCGGCCCATGGTTGCCAAGTTTCTGATGGTTGGGATGAGTGGTCATTTACGATGACATCCAAAAGATCACAGATCTTTTGGTCTATGATCACGTCATAGACCTTCTGGTTTTACAGCTAGGGAAACCAAGGCCCAGCAAAAACAAGGAATTTGCCCAGAATATGTTGTATTCATGAGGCACTGCGAAAAATGTGTAACTTGATTCTTTGCATTCAAAATAGTTACTATAATAAGAAGAAGCTTAAGCGACCATCACTAGGGAATATATTTAAAATGTTTTTATTTCTTATGTGCCATAATGACATAAACATTTTCTCTTCCCCCTGCCAACAAAGCTCCAGATAGCAGTCTCCCTGCTTAGGTCTCTTTGATCCTAGATCCTCTTAAAATTGAACACAAAATCTCCACTGTCTAGCAAAACGGACTCAAGGAGGAAAACTGGAATCAGATAGACTTGGGGGCGAATCTCAGCATTTTTACCAATTTGCTTGACCCTGGGTCACTGACCTTGTCTAGGCATCAGGACCTTGCAGAGTTATTCTGAGAATGAGATTAGCTGCAGTGTATAAAAGTACACAGATCAGTATCCAGTGCATTCTTAAAGGAAGGATAGCAATAATAACTATCAATAATATCATTCTGGTTACCACAGCCTGGATGAATACAACGTGGGACAATGTACTGTCTGGTCCCCAGGCTTTTTTCTATCTGTCAAAAGGACTTAATAATACCTCTCTCATAGAGCTGCTTCAAAGATTAAGTGAGATGAAATATGTAAAGTGACAAGAATGGCACCTGGTAAATACAGGATCTCAGGTCATATTTGTTTCCTTTCCCCAACTTCCATAGTTTTTTATAAAAGCCCAAGGAAAGAAATTTTTTTTTAATCCCAAGGTATTTGACGGCAAAATGAAAACTAAACAGCTTTTTCTTTTGCCCCCAAATGAAAACAGAATGATAATAGTCTCCATCAAAGGGTCACAGAAAAAGATCTGATGTCTCCAGTTCCCAGAGCAGAGAGAGATAGTTAACGTGTGATCTCCTTATTTTTAGGAAATTGCTCAGAAGGCATCTCCTGTATCCTGAAAAGGGCTCCATTCAAGAAGTCATGGGCCTACCTCCAAGGTCAGTATCCAGGAATGCCAACCACAGGAGGGCCACTTTCTATGGCTTTTCTGAAACGTCTAAGCCAGAGGTCACAAGGAGAGGCCAGCGCCAAATGTGGTCTGCCGATGTGTTCTATTTAGCCTGCATGATGTTTTCTATAATTCGAATTGAAATACCTTAGGGAGGAAAGGGGAGAGAGTTAACTGTAAAGCTACAAGGCGCCTCTTTCCTCAGCCCCATTCACTCCCTCATGTTGCCTACTTGGCCTCTGAAAGCACCTGTGTCTCACCTCCACCACCCACTCCGGTCGACTACCTACACGTTGCAGGCCAAGTGCACAGCACTTTTCTTCATGCAAGGGAAGCAGGCTCTTAATCTCTGCCTCTATCTAGTTATTCACAAGAGAACCACAAAATTGCCTTGTCCCTGGATTGACATCTTAATGAACATGTTGGCACAGTTCCGATTTGCATATCGCAGCTCGCTTCAGGTAAGAGGCCCCTTATATTGAAATGATGACAGCCACTTACACTGGAAAAGATGAGATAGGAAGGAGATGGCCAAGATTCTCTGAAGAGCCATTCTGCTCCATTTAGAAATTCAGTTTTGCAGTTAGATTAGTTCTCACTCTTCAATTGAATTGCAACGAACTTTAAAGGGAAAGCATTGAGGCAATTAAAACGAACTCCCCAGCTTCCCAGTTTGGACAGGCACCCTGACCAATCAGTGCTAATTTTCACTTGTTAGAACTCAAAGGGACTTGGCTTCCAACCTGAACGTGTTGGCTTAGAAGACCTGCTAATTCTCTGCTTTTCTATAAATCCCAGCTGGGACGAGCCCCTTAACGTGCATGCAAGGGGTCCACACAGTTGGCTGCACTGTTACAGAGAGGGAGACATTCAAACACTCAGAAAATGAAGGGTTCAAGGATGCATCTTAATGTGAAAGTGAACAGACTGAGATTCTCCTGGACATCTTGATGCCTAAATTAGTTCCTAATTGAACAAAAATGAAGGTCTTATTTCTGGTACTTTGTGCAATGCCTACCAAATAGTAGTCCCCCATTGGGCAAACATTCATTGATTGGTTGAATAAATAAACCTGGTAGTCCAGAATTTATGAGGAATACAGTCCAGGAACTTGTAGTCAGAAAAAGCAAAGGTAGTAATTATAATAACCACAGAATAATATAATAATTAAGTGGAAATCAATTCTATAGGAGGGCAAGTCCAACACCATGTGTGTTCTGACGCTCCAGGGTTCAGCACTAGAGAAAAGGAAGAGGGGCGGTTTTGTACCTGTGCCTTGACTACTAAGCAGCACCTAGAAGGAGTAATACAGGAGATATTCTGGATGACAATATCCTAGGAGACCTGGGCCTTGAACGGGGAACCTTGAATAATGACTTCAATCTTTCCAATTGGCACCCTCAATCTGCCCAATAATTCTATTTTTGCGCCCTTCTCTTTCCAGCATCAAAGCATATAAATAAATCCACGTTGTCTTGGAACAAAGATGGCATTGTCCATGGAGTCACACATCAGGATGGGAATGTGGTGATCCAGTTCCCAGGTTGGTACTTCATTATTTGCCAACTGCAGTTCCTGGTGAAATGCACGGGACATTCTGTCGACCTAAAGGTGGAACTTCTCATCAACGATGTTGTCAAAAAGCAGACGCTGGTGACAGTGTGTGAGTCTGGAGTGCAAACCAAAGACATATACCAGAATCTCTCTCAGTTCCTGCTGGAGCGCCTGCAGGTCAACACCACCATATCGGTCAGGGTGAATCATTTCCAGTATGTGGATACAAACACCTTTCCTCTGGAAAATGTATTGTCCATCTTCTTATACAGTAGTTCAGACTGAACTCTTTCTCCCGGCCTTCAGGAAGAAAGCAACTCTCCGCCATCCAGTACTTTATCCATCCAACACGTGGGCAGAATGAAAACTTTACACCAAGACTGAAACCACAAAGGGTATTAAATAGCATGCTTCTCCTTCTGTCTCTTGGGGAGATACAGCTCCAGGGTTAAAAAGCGGGTTTTTGAGTGAAGTATCTTCCAGAGAGAAGGCAGGGAAGCAATGTGGTGCGGTGGACAGAGCCCCACACGGGAATCAGAAGGCATGGATTTATGCCTCGGCCCAACCACTAACTCGCTGTATGACCTGGAGCTATTCCGTTTCCCTCCCTGGAACTCAGGAACCACATCTGAAAAATGAAGGCGCTGGATCTGAATTCTCTCCAAAGCCTCTTTTCATCTCAGAGAAAACCAGGCTCTCTCATCACAGACCTGGCAGTGTCCTGGAAACCCCCAACCAAAGGAAAGGCCTCCACGCCCGTATAAAAGCAATGGCACTAGTAGCATCTGGCTGCATGTCACCTCAGCAGAGTTAGAATTTGAGGACAAGGTTCAGGACATCTTGCCAAATGGTGTGAGCTGTAGGACCTAAAATGTGTAAAAGTAAGGACCGCCAAACTGACCATCCCAAACCTAAGAGGCCTTCTGGGTATTTGGAAAACCATCTGACCAGGCTTGACTCCATTCCAGTTAAGATTGACAATAAATCAACAACAGACAGTTTCATTCAGCAAATACTCAAATCAATGTGTGGCGATCGAGGTGATGCGGTCATTTGGCCAGGGCATAGCTGCTACCATCTCCCACGTGATCTCTTTCCGTTCCCTGATTCAAACTCCTCTCAGGAAACCATTTCGGTGGAGGGTTTTTAAGGACCCACAAAATTGTTGCTAGACAATGATGCCCCTGAAAATGGTGACAAGAACTGAGCAATGGCAACCTCCTCTCCTGACACGGGGAGCCAGGAGATTTCTCTAGCTGCATCAACCTTTACATCTGTCCATCATCTTGGAAGGAGCATCTTATCTGTTTGAAAGGAACACTGGACTTGAAGTGTAAGCCCCTGCGGTTATATGCCTCAGAAAAAAAATGGGCCCATACCTGCTATGCAAAAGAATGGAGCAAAATCTGAATTCTTCTCAAGAAGAAGGAGAGAAAAGGAAGGAGTAGGAATTCAGGAAAGATTGTTGGAGAGAGACTAAATGAGATTTAAAACAAGAGAAAAACAGCAGCAGTGGTATGGATGAGAGAGATTTGCTAGAACAAAAATGACTGAGGGAAAATTTTAAGTCATTTGCCGAGCAATGTGTTATGTCAACTCCTCCTCGGTCAATGAAATATTCAGTAAAGTCTAGATTTCTCTTTAACACTTTCTGTGAGTAGATTCTTTGGGAGCAGGGGGCATTGAAAGAGTTGTTGAACTCAGCAAGCCAAGTGGTACACAGTAAAAACATAGTTTGGAGGACCCAAAGCTAGAGAATGAGGAGACATCTGGCATGAGTTATACCCTAACTCTACAGGATAAATGAATTTTGCCTGAAACTGACTCATGCATTGTTGAAAAGGTATTTGCAACCTAAGCATGCATAAGCTAAGCACACTTTCTTTTTCTTTTCACGTTTTTTTAAATTAAATTTATTGGGGTGACAATGGTTAGTAAAATTATATAGGTTTCAAGTGTACACTTCTATAATACATCATCGATATATCACATTGTGTGTTCACCTCCCAGAGTCGATTCTTTTTTTTTTTTTTTTAAGCCGAGCCATCCTGCCTCCTGTTGGCAGCTCAGCAACTGCTCAGCTCGGGCCAGGAAATGAACCGCTGTTGCTCAGAGCTCACACTCTTGAGCGAGCTTTTAACCAACTGAGCCACTCAGCCGGCCCCCAGAGTCCGTTCTTAAAGGTTATCTTTTGACTTCACATATAGAAGGTAAAGAAATTAATGTGCCCACCATAAGTTCAACTTTTTTTCTCAGTTGTTGTTGAAGAAATTTTACTTATATTATTTACAAATGGCATTGTGTTTTGCATTTATATTGTTTCTAGGCAAATTTTCTGCCATCTCATATTCTAACTGAAGAAAGATCCTATTTTCACTTTTCACCAACCGTCCTCTGAGCAGAGGTGTGTGACTTTTACACTGTGGGTGGTTCCCAATCTCAGCCTCTCAGCCTCTGTCAAGCAATACTCTGAAAGCTAACAGCTGAAGATACAGGGGGAACAACATTAAAAGAATCTTGTAAGAGAATAATCATTAATACCTCACCTGATAGATACGTAGGGAGTGGACAACCTAGGAAATTTAAAACCAAATTCTGTTACTCCCTGAAGGTTAACCAGCCCCTGGGAATGTTATGAGAAAAGGACAACATCTATATAAGTAAAATAAATGATTTTTTTGTGGCCAGGAACTCAGGCTACCTGAAACATATGCCTCTTTGGTAAAAATTTAACTGGAGCTCACAGACCCTACCCTTCTTCCTGCCCCGCAGCGCGCGCGCACGTGCGCACACACACACACACACACACACTAGTAGAACTTGTAGAAGAAGGTAATGGATGAGTTGATGAAAAATAGCAAGTCAATGTAAATAACAAGATTAAATATATTCCTGCCCTTGGAAAAATTTGTAGGACTTGCCTTCTCCATTTTGGTAAGTTTTTCTTCACCCCATCTCTCTATTGTCCATTATGCCTCCTGTATCTCCCTTATCCAACTCCTTCTTGGAATCCCCCAGTCACACAATGAATGGCTCAGAGAAGGAAGGGATCAGTAACCTAGGAGGGTGGATATCAATAGGTACTAAAGGGAAGAAGTACTGAGGGAAACTGGACAGAATTTACCAAACTAGGGAGCCTTTCAGAATCCCTGGAATACCACTGATTATTCTGGCAAAAAACAAGGCCCTGGAGTGAAGAGGGGAGAGCTGTCAATCAGTGTCATCTCTGGAAAGACCCTGAGGGATCAGCTAAGCCACGCCCTCGCACGTGATTACCAGCAGTTAGGATCTGAGCCCAGCCTCCTGCCTCCTGTCTCCATGATTTCCTGCCAGGCTTTACTGGTCCCCTTCTGTAGACCTTCTGTAATTCCTCAGGTCATACCTTTCAAGCCCTGCTTTGGGGCATTCTTCAGCCTTCCAGCAGGGCTTACCTCTGTTCTGTCTTGTTCCCACGCCAGTCATTCCAGGATCATGCATCCAACATGAGACACAGATGGTCTATAGAGTCAGTACATCGTCAAGTATCAGAAAAAGGTTAAAGCCCAGTGATAAAGTTCTGAAGCTGAAGAAATATCCAAGGCCAGTATTTTTCCCAATAAAAACAAATTAAAACTTTTTTAATTTGAAATTATGTATATATGTACGTATGTACATGTATGTATACATCTATATATGTATATACGTGTGTGTGTATACACATGTGCACGCGTGTGCATTATACACATACATGTGTGTTAGATATACATATAGGTACGTGTGTGTGTGTGTGTGTGTGTGTGTGTGTGTGTGTTTTCCCCTAGGAATTGTTTTAAAGGTCATCTCCTTAATCTGGGGTCAGGGGAGGAAGCCTGATTCTTGCTGTGGGCATTACAACATTTATATACATTTGTATTTATTTTTAATTATGGAAAAAACAAAATAATATTTTTCCCATGCCTCACCAGCTTATTTAATTACTATTAATATTTTGCTATATCTGCCTCTGCTTTTCGAAAAAAATAAAATAAAACATATAGAGCCAAAGTCTCATTCCTCCATCCACTTCCCTGCCCAGAAAATAACCACTGCCTGGAAGCGTGGATGTCCCCCTCACTTACATAACTTCATGCTTGTTTTCCCATAAGAATATATAGGACAATTTTGAGTGGATTTTAAAATTTCAATAAATGATACAAACTTGATACAACATTTTGGGACGTGCATTTTTTCATGTAAAGTTACGTTTTTGAGATTTATCCAGACATACATGTAGATCTAGCTCAACCCTGGAACTGCTGTATACTAGTATTTCATTGTTTAAATATACCACAATTTGCCCATTTTTCTATGGATGACCATTTAGTCTGCATCTCAATTTTGCTGCAACAAGCACATCTTCCTGTACAGTTCCTCCCCCTCATTGCCATTTTTTTCTATACAACAAAAATACTCTTTAAAAACTATAAATATAGTAGCCCTCCCTTATCCACAGGGGATACGTTCCAAGAGCCCCCCTGGATGCCTGAAACTATGGATAGCACTGATCCCTCGGCATATTACTTCTTTCCTATACATACAAACCTTTTCTCTTAAAAGAAGCACTTTACGGCGGGTTTTTGTCTGGCATTCTGAATTGCTAGCATTACTACTCTTGCGCTTTGGAGCCACTTATGAAGTAATATAAGGGTGAACTTGAACACAAGCACTGCGACAGCCATGACAGTTGATCCAATGACCAAGACGGCTGCTAAGTGACTAACACGGAGAGCATATACAGTGTGGAGACGCTGGACAAAGGGATGAGTCACAACCTGGTGGCATGGAGGGGGCCGCTTGAGCTTTCATCACGCTACTCAGAACAGCCTGCAATTCACAACTTATGAATTGTTTATTTCTAGAACTTTCCATTTCATGTTTTCAGGCCACAGTTGACTGCAGTAACCGAAACCACGGAAAAAGAAACCACAGATAAGGGGGCCTTACTGAGTTCAAGCGAGGTTAGACCCTTCTGTGGTCAGAGCTCAGGAGCTGGAGCTTTGGAACCTGAAGAGCCCTTTCCAGTTTTCCTAAGAACTTCTCTGCTCGGTACATCCATTCCACACACTAGTCATGAGAGCCAGTGTGGTGCCAGCCCCATGCCAAGTGCCAGTTTACGATCCAACATGGTGTGCGCCATGGCTCTGCCGGGCTGCTGCCATATCAGCTCTAGTTGATCCAACATGGTGTGCGCCATGGCTCTGCCGGGCTGCTGCCGTATCAGCTCTAGTTAGTGTGTGTGTGAAACACGCCTTTCCAAAGTGCTCGGGGGCTTTGCTAGATTCAGCTCTCTCTCAGGAGAGTAAATGAAAAACACCAGAGTGCAGGAAGGACAAGCACAAGCCCAGAAGAAAATTTCTCCCCCAAGATCAAACGTCTATGCTCCCTGGGGTCTATTCCAGACCTCTTTCTCTTTCACTCCACACTCTCTCCCCTGGGTGACTTAACTCCCATGGCTTCAAATGATGCCTTCTTACCAATAGTTGCATAATCTATATCTCCAAGCTTTGATTGTCTCCCAAAATCCAACCCGGTATATATTCAGTAGCCGCTGGGCTCTACCCATTAGCTCTCTCTGAGACCTTGCAATTGAAGACTTGCACCCAATGTGTAGTGCAGTGAATTTCAAGGGTTGTTTGTTTGTTTTTACCATGACCCAGAGGAAGAAATGTTTTACTTTGCAAACAAGGATGCGCACACATCCTTAAGACAAAAGTTTCATTACATTAAATATGAATTACCCTTACTATTTGCCTGGATTGATTTTATGATGCTTGCGTGAGCCACAACTCACAATTTGCAAACTACTGTTCTCATGTGAATTTCCCCGTTCCGGAAGTTGGAAAACTAAAGATATGCCTTCCTTGTTCTCTTGCAGCTCGGGTTCCAGAATAGTTCAGTTTGAGAGAGACAGGATTTTAAAACGCTTGCCCCTTCAGCTGGCAAGCCCAGCTGTGGAGGCATTTGGTTTTTCTGCAGTTGCATTTGCAGAGGTCCCAGAGTTCAGATTCTAGCTTCGTAGGTGTGGCAAGGCTGGGCATACGCAAAGGAGAATTCATTCTGCTGACATGGTCTGTTGCATATTTCCACTGGTTCTAGAACTGGCCCCAGTAGTGGCTTCCTGATTGTAGTGGTTTCCTGTTTGAAACAGCTGTGGTATGGCTCTTGAGGGGGCAACTTCCTGGTTGCAAGATTATTAAAGAGGCAGCAGCTACCCAGAGCCCAGTTCCTAGGAGTGGCGTCAGAGGCTGTTCCTGAAAGCTCGGGCTGGATTCTGTTTCTTCAGCCCTCCTGACAATTGTATAAGCCATTTAATATCCTGTGATAAACTCCTTCCTGCTAAATGAGCAAGCGTGAAGTCTGTTCTTTGCAACTGATCTCTGATGAATACAATCTCAGCATGTGCAAAACCAACCACACAATACTCACCCCAAGTTTGTCACCATTCCTATGTTCTAAATCACAAGGACTATGTCCACCCTTGGTTGTCTATATCGTTTCTCTCTAACATCCAAACTCCTCAAAGGCAGGAACCCTACCAATCATATTCAGCACTGGGTCCTCCCAGCTCAGCACAGCTCCTGGGACATAATAGACAGTCATTCAATAACCATTTCTTGAATGAGTGATCAAAGAAAATCTCTTTAAACACAGGCCTCATCCCAGGGAAAAAGATGTCAAATAAGCCGTCAAAAAAAAAAAAGGAGTAAAAACTCTTTAGAAAACATGGAAATGTGAATTTAAAGCCATCTTTTCTCTTCAAAAGATTGTTCAGCACTCAGGAGAGTAAGAATGCTGATTAATTAAAGAAAGGGGAAATTTTTAGAAATTGAAATCTACTGGTGCCATCCGAGAATTTGGAAGGAAAAAAGACAAATATAGTTTACTGAACCCCTCTTATGA